GGGGAGTGTAGGGAAGAGGAGCCTTTGCCTAGACGCCTACCTGCTGTCCCTCAGTGGTCATGGCAGCTGCCTGTGTCACTACCGGGTGCTGTCTCACCGTGGTGGGTAGGAGAGCTGTTTTGCTGGGTCTGCGCAGGATGAAAATTGCCTCACGTGTCTATGGGACGTTCTCAGGGGAGCAGTGGTGCTTTCCTGGTCATGGCGGGGCTCCGTCTGCTAGTGACATGGGCTTTGTCTGTGTTAATGTGGGTATTTGCATAACTGCAAACAACGTACATACACATGTTCTTTTTTTTTTAATTGGATCTCACCATCCAATGTGGTGATGTCACAAAGTGCTATTAACTCCCTTTGTTTATGAGGATGATATGTTCAAGAACACATGTGATTTGTAGTGTATGATACTTGAAGTTCTGTGAAAGATTTCCTAGTATACTTTTGGGCTGGTTGTCACGAATGAGTGCAGAAAGCCATGCTGATTAAAAATTGCCAAATATAAAGCGGAAGAACTCCTTATCTCAAAAATACTAAACATTGGAATAACTTTTGTATCCATTGCCTGTGAAGTCAGGTATGCTCCTTTTATTCTAAAGTTCAAAATAGATTTTAAGTTATATTAAATGCTTTTTCTATGCACAAAACTGTTAAATTTTGACGTATGGTATGTAAAGATCTAGAAGTAGAGGAAGATGCCCCATCCAGTGCCATTAGAAAGCTGAAATCTTTCCATATGCTGTTAAGCATTCCACTTCCAGCTGTGCACAAGTGTATCATGTTGGATCTGACAACTGTCACAGGGAGAAACGGTACCAGTCTTCTGGGTTTGGCTGTAATAATGTGGGAGGGAAATGCTAGATTAACAAGGAAAGAGGAAACATTTCTTTTTGTAAACAATTTTATGAGAAGATGATAATTTCTTTAAAGCTGCTTACAAATTCTGGTATTAGGATTCTTATAGAGTAAGTCCAGACAGGATGGATTTGTGCAAGAAATAGCTGGTGGGCAGTCAGAGGCATGACTAATGATTTTGTTTTGTTCAGTTCATTTCCTTAAGTGTTGTGTATATTCTGTTTTTGAAACCTAAAGCATATATGTTTGTTGTGTTGAGTGGATGCTTTCTATTATTTACAGTAGTGTGTAATTATACACAGGCTGACAAATACAGCAGTGTCATAGAATCTATTTTTAGGCTCAGACATTTGTGATTATGATCTAATGTGCCAACAATTCTGAGCAAGAAAATACTGCAGGGGAACAATGCTACCGACCTCATTCATAGCCTGGTACCAAAGAAAGATCATCTGTACCAGGACAGGGCGTTCTGCTGGTTTTTTTCCTCTCTGTCCGCTTAGTTTCCTCTGTTCTAAACAGACAGGATGAGTTGGTGAGGTAGAGCACACAGTTGCTAGACTGGAACAAACTGTTTATTTTCCATTGTTTGTAATCAGACGTGACTTATTATGCTTGTTTCTTCTCTCAACTGGGATTTTCCATTTCTACTCCACTGAGAATCAGTGCTGTTCTCTATTGCAAAGGCTGCTTCCCAGTTAAGTTTCTGCTGTGCATAGGGTAGTCCTAGGGACCAGTCACGTATCCCTTTACTAGGAATGGGTAGCCTGTGTCTGTGCAAACAGTCACGGCGACTCTCGGGCAGGCTAACTACGGCTGTGTTCTTCCTCCCCTCACATGCCTTTGGTGCTGGAATAAAGCAGTGAAAACCTACTGGCCCACTTCTGAGCCTGGTCAGTCACTGCCAAAAGACTACTGGGATTCGTGAATCCTTAAGCCTGAAGTAGCATCTGAAAAGGGGCAAGCAAAGCTGAAACAAATACTGTGCTCGGTCAGTTTACAGCAATGACATATACTCAAACCAAAACATTCCCGTGGGAAAGACCCAACAGCTAAGCAGAGATGCTCAATGTTTTTTGAGGTAGTATGTCTGAATCTTCAGTTTATCTGCATTGTAACTGCTGTAGTGATGAACTTGGGCTTGCTGTACTGTTTCACCTCCTTTTCCCCCTGCGTTGCTTCTAGCAGCACGTTTTGCACCCTGCCCTGCATTTCCTTATGTTAAATATGTCTTTCAGTGCCTGTAGACAAGGATGTGTTTTTCTGCCTCTGGCAAGCCACTGGCTGGATCCTTCTCCTGTTAAGTAAGACTTTCCCCCCACCGTGCTCTGGTTAGGGGTCAATCTGAAGTGCAGGAAAGAATGATTATGATAACAGGAGGAAACAGGAAGAATCATGCTTTCTTTTTCAATATGTTTTTTATTATTGTTTTAATGTAAAACATTGTTTCAATTAAATACTGACCTGTGCAGTGGTGTGTGCGTGCACATGCTGAAATGAATTCAGGCTTTGTTTGGAAAGCTGTGACCTCTTTATTCCTGTTCTGGATCAAGGCTGTTGATTTCAAACCCACTGCTGAGGACTGAAGTTTCACTTGTACTCTGAGTAGTGCCGTCAGTAACAATCCTTGAGTGGTGTTCTCCTTGGGTGTTTTTATGTGCTGTTCCTCAGATTTTAAAATGAACTTGTTTGTTTTTAGGATTTTCTCATGTCATGGAGAAAAGATAAACATGATATGACTAAAATCCATCAAATGGACACTGAGCTGAACTGGTACCTGGTTGAGTAGATACGTATCAGAGATATTAATCAGTTTCTTCCTCTCTCTATGACTTAATTTCATACTATGTTATTTGTGCTTTCATTTTTTAAAATTGACAGTGCCATGTGAATCAACTTTACCAAAAAGAAAACGTAGTACTCGACCCCAATACCTGCTTCCACCCCCCGAAGTGTTAGCTGCAATGACACTAGAATAAGAGGCTGAGTTTGTTATTTGCTTGGATGTAAACTTTAAATCTTTCTCTGTGTGTGTGGATCTATGTTGTCTTGTGTAAGTGCTTTGTTTGCTTCAAATGAACTCTTTCAGAGGAAGGAAGGAGTGGGGAGGATGAATAACATGGAAATTGTCTGGGTTGTTAAAATGAGTCGGTTATATTTTATGCTTGTCCTCTGGTGACCAGATTTTCATTTTTCTCCTTGGCCTCATGGAATGTTTTTATTTATATATCTTATTAGTTCTGGATGTTCTGTGCAAGGGGAAACCTGAATTACTAACTTTTTTTTCTTCATTATTGTATTAAGAGCTTGGGTATTGAATGCAGGTGCTCAGATTCTGCTGTAATTGGCAGTTTATGGAGAGACACCAGCTGTACTGCTTCACAAGGGAGATATTATATGTCTTCACACGTTGTATATATTGTAGGAAATGCAGAATTCCTGTCATTGTCAGAAACTTTGCATGTCCACGTTTACCAGTGCCTCTGTAGAAAAAAGACAACAATCCACTAAAACTTAAAAACTTGTCTGTTTTCAGAAATGGCTTATCCCTTTTATTCTCCTTTCTTGTAGCACTAATTGGTATTTTGTTTGGTTAAATATAGAAAAGATTTAACAAATGTTTGTATCTTTATGGCCCTGCAAGGCATACTGGGGTAGTAACTGCCTGATGTTATTTTTGTAACACATGACAGGGTATGTTACATATCTGCATGTGTGTGGATGTGTGTATACAAGATTACGCTCATCATGTAATAATATACTAAATCATGTATTTAACAATTCGGTTCACGGAACAGGCTTGGAAGTAGCAGCACTGAACTCCAAACTATATTAGACCTTAAGAGGCATAAATTATCCAGTGGGAAAACCATGATGCTTCTGGGCATCTTGCACAATGGGACCATAGTTGCTCTCTCTGTGGAAAGCGTGGGAGCTGCAGACAGTAGCTCTTGGTCGTGCCTGAGGAGGATTGATATATTGCTGTGAGAGTGGGTGAGACTCGTGTGGCTTTTGAAGGACTGAATTATAGGGGGAAGCTAGGAATTAGTATTGAGACTTATAGGTATTCCACATGAGCAATTTGGCCAGACCAAGGAGAAGGCAAAAGCTATGCCTGCGTGATCACTGGAGGGAATGAACACCTTTGAGTGTTGCAGGGAACGTTTGTTCCCTATCAAGAAAAATACACGTGTCTGGCATATTACTAGATAGCACAGTAGGGTTCCATTGAGAGTAAAAGAAATCTCATCAGTTTGTTTTTTTTAAGAGCAGCTTGGAAAACACAGGGCTAATAATAGCGCAGGGGACAAGGTCGCAGATGTCCTGTGTGAGCTGATTTAATGTCTGCCTTGAATATTTCTTATCCCCCATCCTCTGTGGTTTGGAAGTGTGTTTGGATCGATGTATGGACATCCGGAGGTTTTGCCCTGTTAGCTTCATCTCTGGGAACGCAGGGGCAAGGCTGTTTCGTCCTGTCTCTTGGAACAGGTTTAGTTTATATTCTGTCTGTGGCCGTTAAATCCTTGTTTCTTGCTCTCTCATCAGAAGTGTCTTGCATGTTCTTTGACCTAGCTAAGGCCCGGCGTTGAGGCATTCTTTTCAACATCATTTCCTTTCCAGTGCTGCTGTGTGTTTGTGTGTTGTATGCTTTGTTTGTGAGAATGAGGAGGATGTCTACATGTTTCTATGTGGGTTTTTTTGTTTTTAATAGGTTTGTACGCATTGAGGAGCGCGCTGGGGAAAAGACCCAACCTATTAGACAAGGAGGTGGCTGGGTCAGTGATGATTACTTTCAATGACTTCCTGCAGGGGATGAATGATGTCAGGCCCAGCGCCATGAGGGAGGTGGCAGTTGATGTGCCAAAAGTAAGTTATTTTTTGCAATATGCTAGCAATATTGTTAGAGCCATGGTAAGAGTTGCATTTAGCCCTTGAAATGCCCTAATGAAAGGGAGGAATTTTGTCAGGTGGAAGCCTCAAGTTACCAATAAATGTTAAGCATCATATTTTTGTTTGCATATTTGTTTAATTGTAATTTTGAAGACCCATTTACAGAAGCTTAAGTTCCTAATGCTTTAGAGAAGAGTTAGTAATGCAGGACCATATCTCACGATCTGTAGTTTTATATGCTGAGTGGGTTAATGAATTAAAAATATTAAGATGTTTACTCAGAGCAGATCCCGAATAGCTGTGAAAGCTGGAGCCTTTTGTAAAGCAGACACAGACTTCAGCAGAAACTGACTTAGCATTTGTAACCAAAGTGTGTAGGAGCAAAGCTGTTCAGAGATTGATTGCTGTGATTTTATGTAAAGCAGTTGACTAATTCTACATGCAGTTCATAGTGTTGTGACCTGAATGTGGCATTATGTGAGTTCAACTGAGGGCAGAATTAGATATTGTAGGTAGGTTATCGCTGCCAAATGGTTACCTGTCAGGGGTTGTCATTATATGAACAGTTCTTTTGGTGTCGCCAGGTTCATCTTTACCCTGCTCACTGCCCTCTCAGTTATGTATTATAGTAGTTCAGTAGCAGACACAACATAAATTGGGCTCTGGATCTGATCTAGTTTAAGATGACTCTTACCTGGCTTAATGAGATTCAGCAAAAGAAAACGTGTTTACTCTTACTAAGGCTTGACTCTGCAAGCCGTTGCACTGGTGTTTCTCAGCAGCTACCCAAGCCCTAGAAGAAAACATTTATGTCTCGTTGCACGAAGATGAGTCATCTGGGAATTAGATTGCTCAACTGTAGACCCTTATTCCCAAACTATAGGAATGGGAAATAAAATCTGCCAACAGGATGCTGCAGACAGCCAGCTCGGATATCACACTTGGCTTGTTAAGAGTCCACGCTGTGCAGTGAAGTGCTGGGTGGAAATGCCTGGGCTGGCCGCAGACAGCTTTTCCTGGAAATGGTGTAGTGGCATCAATATCCGCAAGGGCTAATTAGTTCTGCTGAGAAACCAGAGTTACTAATTCTCTTGTCGTTCATTGTGCTTCTGGCTCTCGGGCTCACGTCACTGTCGCTGTGCTGGGCCTTCTAGACATAGCAGCCCATTTGGAGCAGATGGAGTGCTGCTGAACAGCGCAATAAAGACAGATAGAAGCAAAGTCTCAAGGTGCTGCAGGAAATTTCTTCTGAATACAGGTCAGCCTACTACTCAGGCTCCAGTTTTCCACTAAACCATCCTGCCAGTGTCTCCCTGTTTGGCACTTGGTTTTATTTGTTAAACACAAGCTGGGCCACTGAAATAATAAAATTCATTCCTTTATTGAAGGGAAGATGACATAGTGCAGATTCCATTTGTGCTGACAGGACCAGCATTTTTACAACATAGTGTGTGTTCTGTGAAGATGTAGGGTAAATTTCAGGCTGTCTGTTGGCACCTGGGATGAGTTTAAAGTGGAATCTCCATATGCAACAGACTTTGTCTTCCCATATTACCTACCAGAGGAGGTGCTGGAATTCAGTTTAACCATAATTTTGGGCTGCAGAGCTATTGGCTTACCAAAACAAAGGTACCTGCATGCTCAGAAGCAGTCTGAATGTCTGGAAACACTGACACAGCTCTCCATGAAAGTCAGAGTAGTGTAAGCCCAGCATGGTAATGCCACCACCACTTAAAGGCTAACTACTCCATTACTATTTGTATTTGAGCTGGGAAAGTGCCTTAAGTCAGCTCAAGTCCATGAGTTAGTTGAAGGAACCTGGTTATGCTACAGCTATGTGGCAGGAATGGCAGTGCAGGGAAAGCAAGTGACAGGAATTCAAACTGCAGCCGGTTCGTTCAGGCTGCTTGCTGGGAGCCTGGGGTGTGATGCAGGAACACTTGCAAACATCTGAAACTCATTCACGTACTTTTTAGCAAAGGGTAGCTATTTTAGAAAACATTAACCACTGTGTGGTTTATAGACATGCACGAGCAAAAATAAATTTAAAAAATCTACTTAGTGTTGTTATTAAACTTAGGTTAGTGTCATTTGCTCTTTATTAGCAAACAGGTATGTCTTACTCTCACCTGAATGTTAGTGTCTGATTGGCAGTCACTTAGAATTTAATGTACTGTTGTTCAGAGAATTTAGATGGTTGATGTCTTGTTTGGAACACAGATTGTAGCAGAAAATGTAATGCAGCTTCTACTTCTTTGGATACCTTTTTTTAAAAAAGTGTATGCAACACTTCATGTTGCATGCTTCTAGTAATTATTTTTAGGTATGTCTTATCTAGTCTTAGAGACTGATTTTTGCTTCTCTGATTCAAGCTGAGTATCTAACTGCTGTGGTTGAAGCTGTGTGTTTGATTGTGCTAATGTTTGCTGTTAATTGGATGCTGAAGTACTTGGTTTCAGTAGAAACGAGGTATCTAAGAAGCTAAATGAATGCAACTGCAGAGCTATTAATTAGTTGCAGAGCTATTAATTAGTTGCAGAGCTATTAATTAGTTGCATCATCTTGTGTCAATGATGTGATGTCCTAGATTGAATACCTATTCAAGTATTAAACAGCAAAGCAAATACTTGAATGCTTGAATATCTACTCCTGCAACACCTGTGGGAAACCTTAAAATTACTTGCTTGCCACAGAACTGATGCCAGTAGTCATAATTTCTATAAGAAGTTCTTCTTTCCTAATTTGTCCTCTTTTCAGCACAGTGCTTTCAGCCCATGGACTTGGGTCACTTACGCCTTCAGCACTTGACTTGATTGGCGCTTGGCCATGGCGTACTGTGGTACATTGCATGTGCTCTGCAGTAACTCGCACCAACAGCAACTGCCCTGCTTACACCTTTTGTTGCATTCTTGTTGAAACGTAAAGATTATAGTTGGATGTGTGGGAAACGGAAAGCATGAACCAGACAGGAGTCCAGCTTTCTTCAAGAAACCCTAAACTTGTTGTGTTTTCGTTTTGTTTTTCCTGGCTTATGTATCTTTGTGCAGTCATCCTGTATTGATTAGTCTCCAGACACTTTCTGTCTGTAAGGACAGGCTTTTCTTCCCCTGTTCTCCTTGCCCCAGAAGCTATCCAGCTGGATGGGTAATTGTGTGGGTAAATTTGTTAGAAAATCAGGGGCGACATCCCTTCAGGTTTTGGAGTGTGACCTTAACACTGTTTGCCATCATCCTTTCTAAAAATAACTTCAGACACTAAATAAATGATCAGATATGAGATTTTTTTTTCCCCAAAGAGAAGGCAGAAGCCTGAGCTACGTTAATAATACCCACTTTTTTACTGTTTATTGTAAATACAGTATTCCCTTGGCAGCCCCATGGGTGTGGATGGACCTTTTGAGCTGTGCAGTTAGTAACAAGTAAAACCATAGATGTACACGCTGAGTTAAACTGAGACTTTTGTGTGTTTTATCTTTATTTTTCAGTTGGTGTGGGTTTTTCATATTTCACCGCTTTGCGGTAGCCATGTGTCAGTTGAATAACAAGAGTTCAAATTAACTTTCAAAAGCTACAAGTAAATGAATTTTGTTGAAGTGCTTCTTCCCTTATAGCCATGACACCTTTTGCCCTTTATGGGCTGTTGGATTTTTGAAGCTGGCATCACCTCTGTTGCTGAATGAAAATAATTGCTTGTTTATCGTGAACTCCAAATTTTTGCATCAACACAGAGCTTGTTCTCTGAAATCTGTGCAACTTTGACATGGCTGTAAAGATAACACAGTTTTCAAATTGGTCTTTGTTTTTTAGGTCCTGGATTTGAGTACCAGTTGCTTGGCTGTTTAGAGTGCTGCTAGGCTAAACTGTTCTGTTGCAGTCTTTTGTCTTACTGAACACCTGGGGAAAAAAAAATGGTTATATGTGTATTTGAGGCAGTAGCTAAAGAGCAAGGTGATGGAAGTGACTTGTTGGGGTGGCCTGGAGCAAGTCACTTCTTGGTGTCTGAGGATATTTGATAACCTTTAGAGAATGCTTTGCAGTCCACTTCTAGAAAGCGCTCTGTGCCAAGCTGGTTACTAGGGGTTTTGCCACTGACGTAATTTCAGTTCTTTATTCCAAACAAATTTGGGGAATTTGTTGGAATTCCCCAGAATTACTGGTGGGGAAACAGCCAAAATTTGGGGTGGCAGGCAGACAGTGAGGTGGTGTGCAGGAGGAGCTCTTGCGGGCAGAGGTGCCACCACATGCTTTTCGTTCTGTTCCTCTTTTCCGTGTTCTTTTGCCCCTCCACTTGTGTCTGGGTTGCCGTGTGTGTCGGCTGCGACCAAGGCAAATGCAAGATACTTGCTGCCTGGTTCCATATAGCATCTTGTTTTCCATTTTTACGGGACTTTTCTTAAACTTTGCTATGTGTTACAACCTTTTTAGAAGGCAGCTTTTTCTGCAGCAGGGATTTAGGAGAGAGGGGACGCACGTTATAAATCAGGAAGGTAATATTTCACTTCTTTGGAGAATTGCTGTAGTGGCCGTTCCTCCCTCTCCTATGGGTCTTTCTGAAGTTGTGTAGGGCGCTGTGGGTTTTGCTTGCCTGTTTCACTCCCTTTACTGTAAGTCAACACTCAGATTTGTGTCTTTACGGCCAAGAGGTTCTGGATGAGACATCCTTTGCATGTCTGCTTTCTTTCTTTATTGCTGCTGCTTAACAACCTCTGGGGAGTTGCTGCTCTGCATTGTATTCTGAGCTCTGTTGACCTGGGGAGAGCTCAAGATTACGACAGTAATGAAATCTTGGTGTCTTATGCACTGCAGCAGAGCACTGTCTGTGTGTGTGTAAGCTCAGCCCCAAGGCTAGTTTTTAAAACCATTTCCACTGTGACAGAATCTCTCACTTCATTGCTTATGCTGTCAGACCTTTCCTTTGAGTTCCTGTGAAGGTAGAAGCGTAGCTAGCCATCCTAACGTTCTTACTAATGTTTGTGCTAATTGCGGTCAGGGAGTTACCAAGGATTTGTGTGCTGAAATAATCTACCTAGTTCTTCTGCTTCTGGGCCTACAAGAGAGCTGGGAGGGAACTTTTTACAAGGCCCTGTAGTGACAGGACAAGGGGTAATGGCTTTAAATTGAAAGCAGGGAGGTTTAGATTAGATATCAGGAAGAAGTTCTTCATGGAGAGGGTGGTGAGGCACTGGAACAGGTTGCCCAGAGAAGCTGTGGATGCCCCATCCCTGGTAGTGTTCAAGGCCAGGCTGGATGAGGCTTTGAGCACCCTGGTCTAGTGGAAGGTGTCCCTGCCCATGGCAGGGGGGGTGGAACTAGATGAGCTTTAAGGCCCCTTCCACCCCAAACCATTCTGTGAATCTGTGATGCCAAGCTTATATGAATCTAAATGAATTCTTACTTGTGAGTGTTTTATTATTGGTGGATGGTAGTGTTTTCCATCCCCACTTATCTCCACCCCTTTGAAATGAGGAGGGGAAAAAAATTGATTTTGGTTAGGCCTTGACCAGAATGTGGATGCAGTGTCTTATTCGCTGTTCCTGCTTTGAAAGCCATTGCATCTTTAATTACGTCTTGTTATAGAAATTCTAAGTAAGTTAACTTAATTTTTGACTGGTTAACTATTTTCTTTTTTAACTTAAAATGGGCAAGTTCACGTTTAGTGGTCCTGTTTGTTTGTCCTGACCCAGTTGTCTCTCCTCCCCTTCCTGAATTAAACTGTGAACAATATCAGAATAGGTGTCCAGATTACCAAAAACAGCCTTCATGTAAGCTGGCCTTATGTCACCTTTTCTATACAATTATATTGCTTATGTTAATGTTTAATGACATGCAGTAGGTCTGAAAAATCATTAGACTAATGCCTCAGAAGACTTGTGCAATAGTCTGAAAGTTTGCAAGAGGGTAAAAGTAACATTTAGGTGTGTTCTCCCTGGCTTTTTCTATGTGTGTGATGTACTGCGAATGGATTTTGCCTTCTGTGGCTGAAAGTTATAGGGAATTCCTGATGACTTAATTAATTTTAAGAGATTCTGTTCATGTTTGTCAAAATCTTTGTCTAGCTAGAAAGACATGATGCTAGGAATGACTAGTCTGTGCGTTACCAGGTATCAGTAAGGATTGATACTGAAAAATGAGAACAAGCTTATGTTATGTGTCTTCTTCCCTAAGAAAAAGTTGTTTAAATGAGCCACTACTTAGTTCTCTGCACTTTACAGAGCTCCTAGGTAGAATTAAGCGTTGTAGGAATGGGTAATTATTTTTTTGATGAAATTTAAAACACTGACGTGGTTTCAGATCTGACTTTGAAACACCAGCTTTTAGAATATGGGAAGATTAACTGTCCTGAGTTTAATTATGTTACTCACCTATAAAACTTCAGTGAAAAAGGGTGGTTTGCATGGGTGGAACAGTGGCAAGGTGCAAGTGAGCTGACACGTCTTTACTTTTTTAGAACTTCTGTGTTTGCTTCATTGTAATTAAAAATCTACAGGTGGATTTATGTCTCTTATGGTGAAAATTCAGGTGGGAATGCTACCATTCTTTTAATCTGATTTGTGCAGTAACTCTAGCTTGTAGCACAAAGCAGCATTTCAGAAGAGAATATTGGCAGATTGCAAAAGTTGGCTTGGCAGTTACCAGAAGTGTCATGACACTTTGGTTATGCCCCTGCTAAAATCCTTTCCTCCCCCTGCTACTGGGATACTCTGCTGTGTCTGATTCAGTCTTCACTTCGCTCTGACCTTTACTGAATTTAAGTTTCTTTTCTGTTTTTTTCCATGAAGGAATCCTGTCTTTGGCAGATCCCTCTACTCTCAGATCCTTCTTAGTAGGCAGTGGTGATCAGCTCTACATATTTCATGCTTCCCCAGGCTCATAAAGTAATCATGTAAGAATCAGAAGCTGTTGGTCACCTAAGGGTGGGGTTTTTTTTCCTAGAGTTCCTGTAACATATTCCTGGTGTGAGAGGGATGATGTTCTGCCTGCAGCAGATTGGCAGCTCCTTATCTTCTGGTTAGCCTTGAAACTTAGAATATTTCTGAAGGGTTGACCCACACGTATTGATTTTTGCTGTTTGCTCTGTGCTGCCTTCGTCATTTTCTTCTGTGTCAAAAACTGACAATTGAGAAGTTTTATTTGGTTTGCAGTTTGCTTGGACTTAGACAAAAGTGCTTGCCCCACTTCTAATGCTCTCTTTCTTTCTCTTCAGCAGTAGACCAAATTGCCTCTTTCAGGGACTACTTTTCTACTGTTGGCTTCCACTTTGTGTACTGGTATCAGGAAAACAACAATAGGAGCCAGCTGGGTGTGACACCAGTTTTCAGGTCAGGAGAAAGGCGTTACGTTGCCTTTTAGTAATACTCAGCTTGCTTTTCAGGTGTAGCTGACTTTACGGAGCTGAAGGGTGATTTATGTCTAGTAAACTTTTGGAAGAGTGTTTTAAGGCAGAAGATCTTAGGTGCATCTTGACATGTTTAATATTTGAAGTGGGCGGGAATGGATGGTGACAAAATGAAGAACAGCCTGGGGGATGTGGGCAAAAGTCCTGGGCTTGTTGACAGCAATGCAGGGAGAGGTGTAGCAGGTTTTAGATCTGTCCGCTGTTTTGGGAAGGACATATTAGTTCTGTCCCCACGTGTGCCTGACAAGTTTGTATTGTGTCTTCAACAGAGCAAATTTAACTGCAGTTGGGTTTGAGTGTTGCTTTTTTGGTGTGTGGTTTTTATTTTCTGTAGGTACTTGTCTGTTGGAAGGATTGTTTGTTTCTAAGCTTCCAGTTAAATCTTCATTGCACAAGTCCTCTATGGGAGTAATAGTGTTGGCAAGTGGAGGAACCCCCAAAACTTCCAATGCTCAGTCCAGTTCAGCTTAGTGGGATTATACAGCTGGGATCAGAGCCTTACTCTGCAGCTGTAAGTAAAACCAGCTTGAGCTCATACAGCCCTTTCCTTCAAGGAAGACATCAAAGTAATTTGCAAATTCCATATCAGCATCACATTAAAATACAAGAGAACCAAGTTGTGACTTTGCTTGTGATCATGCAAAGTGGTGCTGCCTGTATGATCACACTGTCATTTTATTGTTATTTTTCTGTATTTTGTCATTGGCCTTTGAAGTAGACACAAAATATTTTACCTGCATCCACCAGCAAAAAGCTAATCTAATCATACGTTGTGTGACTTCATTAGCAATTACTTCTTGTTTAAAAAAGCTTTTTTGAAGAAGTGCCTCGTTTAAAAACAACTTCATGAAATAACCAGTATGCATTCTACAGGGCTTTTTTTTTTTTTAAATTGTTTTGCTCCATTGTCTGAAGTCAGCCAAATTTTCTGCTTTGCAGGTGTCTTGGTCAGACATAGGAGGACTAGAAGATGTCAAGCTGAAATTGAAGCAAGCAGTTGAATGGCCTCTCAAGCATCCTGACTCCTTCATCCGAATGGGGATTCAGCCTCCAAAAGGTGTGCTGCTTTACGGACCTCCTGGGTGCTCAAAAACAATGATAGCAAAAGCTTTGGCACATGAAAGTGGCCTCAACTTCTTGGCAGTGAAGGTAGGCCATTTAGTCTTAAATTTTCTTAACTCCTGTGTAACTATTCATAGTTTACCATTTCCAGTGCTAGATTCCAGTGGCTTATCGTGTTTGTGATCCTCATGTGCTACAGCAAGCACCTTGTAAATATCTGATATATGTTGTGGTTTTTTGAAAAGGACTAGTGCTTCACTGTATGCTTTTTAAAAATGTTTGACTTATCACAGCACAGAAATTATAAGTTGGATGGATGGATAAGCTGTGTAGTGACGTATTAATTATTGCATTATTTAAAGTATTTTAAAAATGTAAACCAATGCAATTCTTAATATGTATGAAATAAAACTCTGGATAGTGGATGGCTCTTTACCTTAATAATTACTTGCTTGCATGGAAATATTATCATCTCATCTCTTAAATTCCTTTTCATTCCTCAGGAAAGTCACTTTCTCTATCTTACTGTTCATGTTTCATGACAGATTTTTCCTGCCCTATATGCCTTTTTTCAGGGGAAATCGTTCTACTTCATCAGTTTTTAGAAGGTTTGCAAAATCAGTTATATCTGGAGCATTCTTGGATAAATGGGATATTCTCTCGGCATTAAGAAACACTCTTAAGTACAGAAAAACTTTTGGATTTCATTGCCTATGAATCAGTGTAATTGATTGCTGTGGGTTGTATGGAAAATGCATGAATGGAAGTTATTTAGTAATAATAATACTGAGGTTCAGCACAGAGGAAGAAAAAAAAGGATAGCAGAGTGATTCCACATGGAGTAGTCCTGCAGCTGTGTCAGTGTTAATGAAGTGCAAGAAAAAACATTTGTTTAAGTATTTTAAAAGCATCATCTCCTCAGTAGTAAGATCACGTACTCTTGTCTGTTGACCATCTCTTTACTCACAAAGCCTTCTGTGTTGTTACTTTCTGCACAGCTTCCTTCTCTGCTTATCCTTCCTGACACTGTAAGGGTAGCTGTGGATCCTGTCCTCTCTGGGAGCAGAGGTAGTTATACTGACCCTGAAGCCAGCAGCCCTTCACTGTCTGTGCTTCCCAGGGTTAGAGACAGGCCTCTGGGTCATGGTCACATCAACAAGAGCAGCCTTGGAAACCTCAGCCCTTAAGAAACATTACCTTTACTGCCTCTTCCATAAAGACAAAGTAGTTCTTTGTACTCCAGAGTTACTAGTAAACAAGGTAACCTTTTCCTTCTGTACTGCTTAAAAGAAAACATTCCTCTTTGTCTCGCCCTGATGCGGGAGAGGATGGGCAGAAAATGTAGCAGACTGAGGGGAAAAAAAAAAACCCACACCACAATTTAAAACGAAATCTGTCATTTTCCAGTACTCATCAGTCATAGCTACATCAGACACTTTTACTGGTGCAGTTAATTGTTCAGAAGTAAAAAGTGGCTCATGGTGAATAGGAGGTGCTCTGATATGAAATGCTGTTGTACTTTTCAGCATTTCTTCACGGTGGAGTTCTGATGGCACAAATCCCCATCATTGACAAGCTGCAGCAGAAGCGGCTGGCTTGGGGAAACTGCCTTTTATTTCCTGTCAGTTTAAATCCCTTGGTCTGGAACTGGTTGAATTTTCAATGTACAGATGTTTCAAGAAGCACATCTTTGGAGCATGTCCAGCCCTGGATATGTTGACTCCAGAAAGGGAACATAGCCCGCTTTCTCTAACTTCACATTTGCTTCCTGGACAGAAAAGGCAACATCCATCATGTACTAAATGTGTTAAACATCATTGTCTGTAGCACTTCTTAAAGCACAATAGGCATGAATTAATTTCCACTGCATGCGTTCCTGCAATAAATCCGAAGTAGATGAATATGTGGATTTTTGCCTTTTCTTTTTGAGAGGGGATTTTTTCTTTCTTGCTTATAGTCCTATTAGTTTTCCCATTCTCTACGTTATGTCTCAAATATCTGTCTCTGGAACTGGTATCAAGCTTTTTGAAATTGAAGTGTGTTTCTTGATAATTTATTTCAGACTTGTGTTTTCCTTCCAGTCTCTCCTGCCCCAAATAAGTAATTTTGATGAAAAGTGTCTGGTGCGTAGCCTGTAGGATGTGTGTAGTTTTTCAGGATAGTTCAGGTGGCTCAGGTTCTTGGGTCAGTCTCGCAAACAGATTGCAGACAGGAGGCGTAGTTCTGGCTGTGGGAGCTGGCTGCTGGCTGCCGTCTCCCTCCCATGTCCAAAACCTGAGAGGAAATGGAGTATGTTACAAACAGTGCGAGCTTGGTCCAGTGACTTTTGGGAGATGGACCTATTATGCCTGCACACGACACGGAAGATACATGGGCACAGTCAGTCCAAGTCTCTCCAGCAGTGCTGAATGTACTCTGCTGGCTAGCCTGCTTGGGTGAAACAGGTATGGGCCCTGCCCCAGCATGGCTCCGGGAAGGCTTTTGCGCTACTTGTCCAGATGTGCCTGTGCAGTGTCTGTGCAGTTTGGACAGCTGACTCTGTCAGATGAAGTACTTCAGATGGGTTATATGTAATCTGTTAAAATGTGACGTTTCCACGTGTCTTGCTCACGGCCGGTTGTCATAATGCTACGTGAGGCATGGTCAAGGCGGCGCAGCCTGCGGCCCACATCTGCCTTATCTCTAACGCAGTTTGGAAGATGGGCAGTGTCTAGATGTAATTTCTGGGCAGAGGAGCTGACGAAAATAATGTGATAACAGATGTTTGACGTTGCATCCTGTTCTTTCCTGAAATCTATTGTGAAGTTTGAATGGTTCGTGTTACAATGAATGTGGCCCTTTTATAAACATGTTTTTTGAAGTTTGGCCAAAACTTTTTATAGCTATATTTTCACCAAGATTGGTGACCTTTTGCTTTTCCAGAGAAAAGTGATTGGTTGGTTGGTTTGTTTTACAAAGCAATCTTGCACATAATTCCTAAGGGAAATTGTTTTATTTTTAATCCTTCACTTGGCATTCTTTGTCTCTAATACAATATATCTGCTAAATTTACTGGGGTTGACGTTGTCAACTGCTTTTCAGGGGATGGCTCTTCCTGCTCCCTCCCACCACCCATTTTCTAAATCTCTTGCAGCATTGAGTCGTTTCAGGGTTTTTAGTGGTCATCTTGATTATTTCCCCCTCCCAAACCTCTGTTATGGAAAGACAACTGAATTGTTCTGAAATTCTTGGAGTGCTTTCAGTGTTTTGTGGTCATGGATCCCAGCGAGTATAAGACTCTGTGAGGGAATGAATTAGGATGATTTTTTCATTCTTCAGGGTCGAACATCAGTCTTGTCAATAGTTTCTGATCTGGTTCAGTTCTTATTTCAGTCAACCTTCTATGCACCTCTGTACTTCTTCATATTCCTTTTGAGCCTGCCCCAAAGCTTGTAATTTTCTTCTGAAATGTATTTTATGCATTTCTTTTACTAATAGGAAAAGAAAATTGTATACAGATATTGGGCCTATCAATATTAATAGGATGGGGAATGTAACTTTCAATTTCTGCCAGGCTGGTGACACTTTTCTGCTATATACCGTTGTCTGTCTCTGACATTTCTGCTTTAGATGTCATCTTGCTTTCTGAGATAGAACATGAAGAAAATTAAACCCTTTGTCACTGTGTTATTTCTGTACACTGTGGGTGGTTTTTTTTTTTTCCTTCTTTTGACTGTTTACATGATATCTCTGTACTGTTTTGTCAGCCTTAGGGTCAGTTTTAGCTGCTTTTTTGAGATATACGTTGATTAGACCACTAAGTTTTTATGGTGATAATGTAAGAATATTTTTTGAGGAAACTTCCATATCTTGCTGTATGGCATAAATAATTATATCTGCATTTGCCTTGCATTTTAGTTTGTTTAGATTTATTGTGACTGCCCTCTTGGATTATTTTAAAAAATTACTTTATTTTTAGGAAACCCTGTATCATTGTGTTGTACCAAGAATCTAATGAATATTCCTTTTCTTCATGGATTTTTCTGTTGCTTTTCTGGCAAGCAACTTGCAGAGAATCTTTGTGGCTTTTTTTTTTTTTTTGGTCATCGTTGTGGTATGTAGGTACTTTACTACTAAATAAGAAAAACATTGTGGTTTTTTGCTTTTAATCTATCTGAAAATGAACACTGAAGTTCACTGTTCAGTGGCGAGCCTGGGAGACACCATCACTGTTCCTACCCAGATAAACATCATAGAATGGTTTGGGTTGGGAGGGACCTTAAAGCTCATCTAGTTCCAACCCTGCTGCCATGGGCAGGGACACCTTCCACTAGACCAGGTTGCTCAAAGCCTCATCCAGCCTGGCCTTGAAGGCAGCCAGGGATAGGGCATCACCCAGTTACAGTGCATTCCTTAGCTGACAGTCCCATGAGGGGTATGGCGATTGGAAAATCCTATTGCCCTTTGAGTTGCCGGTAAACCCAGGATGCTGCATACTGGAGGGGATGTATGTTGTTGACAATATCCTGTGTTGCATTACTTTCTACTTACTCAGCCTGTTAAAACCAGAGGGAGGGTTTCTGCTCATCTCAGGAGGCTTTTGCTCAGGGTTATATCAACAAGAGGCTTTGAGTTCTGCTTTCTGACAACAAGCAGATTACCTGAGTTTACAAAATAAATAACAAGAAAAATTATGTAACTTCTTTATGCTTGTAATGGTTTTTGGAAGCATCAGATTTCCCCTAGCTGCATAGTGCTTTTTAATATTTGTCTATTTAAAATCAAAACTAAGGCAAAAACTCATGTGGTGATAGTGACAAAAACCAGCTTAAACTATCCTGAGAATTTACATCTCCGCTTGTTAAACCCCTTGAAATTCAGCTGAGAGACACTAATTGTTGTAAACACTATGCAGCAATAATTTTAAAAAAACAGCCCCAAACCCACCCGTGACGGTACGCAGTGTTTAAGGATGTTAACACCGAGCAAACCAACAGTTCAGATGATGTGTACTATCCTGCTTTAAAATATTTGCATTGATTAGGAGCTCCAACTATGCTGGGGGGGAGGAGGGAAGGTTATAAAATATTCCTGACATTTTATTTGCT